TGGTTTCGTAAAATTTCATGTATGCAATTTAATCGTTGTTATTGATAAAGAAACTTTTCAAGGTTGAAAGAGAGTTACTTTATGCAGTAATTTTTTATGTTTTCTTGCTGTTTATTATTTATTTATTCATTTAAACACATAAACATTGGTATAAGAAGGCACCAATTACATACGCGCCACACAAATCATTTGAATTTATAGTTTCTTTTTCAGTTAGCTATAAAAAACATCTTTCATGGTTTACATGTTAAGGATATTAAAAATGACTTAAAAATGCAATTATTATGAGGTTTGTAGTCAAAAAAATACTACAGTATTGTTTCATCTTTTTCCATTGAACATCAAGGAATCCTTCTAGAAATGTTACTGATGCCTGAACATCGATTGCCCCGACGCTCAATGCTGACTAGTGTTGGAGACGATTGGAATTAAGTTAGGGGCGGCCAAACCAAAATGTGACATTAGTCCTTGAAATTAATAACTTCTGGTCTAAGCCATGTTGGTAAATACAGACTATCGTAACCAATGGTTGGAGACACTGGGTGACATGGCTCAGAATCGATCACAATAATGTAGGTGTATACACTCTTTGTCTTCCCTTAAACCGTGACATATATATTACTTTATACGGACTTATTCTTTTCCCAGTATTATATCCTTATACATAATTTTTTTTTTATATATTACTACCATTGAAGTAACTATTTCTTTGAATTTGGTGTTCATCTTGTTGTGCTAATAAGATGTGGGAACTTGAACCGATGCATATATGTGCTTGGTCCTACGTTGTAGACGACTGATTGACATTCTAGACAATATGACATAATAGACCGAAAATAATAAGGAACTTTCATTGATATTTCAAGAAATATGCTAAAATTGAAGCTTTGATATCATAAGAAAAAACCCATTCTGATATAAGTAACAGTAACAATGAATACAACTGAGTTCAAGATAATTTTAATAGGGGTTTATTTGTTCTTTTAAACTATTTCATTATTCTAATAGTCAGGCATTGATAAATGTTCTAGATTATTGTGAGTTACCGGAAGTTATTAAAATTTACAAATGTATTAAATGAAAATTATTTCATGTATTATCAATAATTTTTCATTATTATTAAATGATGTTCGTATTGAATTATCATTTATTTTAATTCATTGAACAATTTAATGTTAACTATGGTGTTTGTATGAACTAATAATGACTGAATCAGATCATGGAGATGAGCACAATTTTGGTAAATGCTTGTTCTGTGATTCGTTTCACCCATTTAATTCATGTGTATTTAGTAATTCTAAATGCTTTAAATGTGTTGAGATTGAACACATTCAGTCAGTTTGTAATACTACGGTTCATTTCGAAATTAGGCAGTCATCAAGTACAAAGGAATCATTAGTTCATACAAATACCACAGTTAAGTTTCATTATTTTTATTACATTTATACTCAATTATTATATCTGAACTAAATAAATGAATTTGGTAAATTATACATCTATGTATTTGGCAATAAAAAATGGAAGATTAAATATTTAAGAATATAATATCCGTGTTTCATAATAAATGAAGAAATTTAATATACTCATTGTCATTCTTCGTGATTTCATCAAGATATTGTATAGTGTGAAGGTGAATTCAACCAAGAACTGATATAAGTTAAATAATCTATGAAAATCATAGAATATTAAACAAATATAACGTTTAAGTTTAAGCCTTTGGATAAGCGCTTGCTTAAATTAAATGGCTACATAAGAATTAGTGGCTAGACTGTAGTTTATGAACGAACCAATCAAATTTAAGATAACAGGTCTTGGATTTTGGCGCGAAATTTACACACTCATTGTTCGAAATAGTATCTTGGCATTTTAGCTAATGTCAGTTCGTGATGAAAAACCGTTAATCTAATTCATAACCCCAATCATCAACTGTGAATCATAATCCTTACTCTTCAAACTGCTTTATAGCCCTCATTTAGCCATAGTAAGTAGGTAGGTGCTCTCAAGGTCACTGTAGAGTCGTTCAAAGGTCGTCCATAAATTATAGTCTCATCGAACCAGTTTGTTGACTAAATTCTTAATTTTTAAGATATAACTATATATCAGCAATAGTTTTTCGATAATGAACCAACTGTCATCTAGAGAAGCACTGAATAAGTCAAAGAGTAATGGAATTTAAAATTTTTTTCATAGTTTAGAGTTTATCAATTGGTCTTTTTACAGAATAATCTACTATTCATGGTTAAATATAAGCATTAGTTACTTGGTAAAGCTTTACTCTTATTCTGTGTTTATCATATTTTTCAAATCTGTGATTATCACCATATTGATTTTCGATAAATTGTTATAGAACGTAAGATCATTCGATCCTTTTTTCTTTGTTTGGATAAATCACTTACTGTCCTACTGTTGTTTTATTCTTGAAACAAATTATAAATTATGTTTTTTGGCTGAAAGATAAATTTTGCTTCCTGTGATCCTATTTTCCCAGAATAATAATAGTTATATCTAGATTTAGTATTATTTGCTTAAGCTGAGTAAAATTATTGTGTTTTATCTGAATAAAAATAGATTTATCGCTTGTTAGATGGTATATATATTAGTCAGTTATTTTATATCACTTACCTTTCAGTATACAGGATCATAAAATAGTTGAGACATGATTCGCATATTTACTAGATTATAGGTTTCACATATAAGTTGTTAACATGAATTGAAAATTTTATACATCATAGATTTATTTTTGACCTTTAATGTGTATTCAAACTGGCTAGATATATATCATATGTGATTATCAGTATGGGGTTGTGGAAATTATTAAGTTATTGATTGAGATCATGAACCGACTGATAACAGACCACCACTAAAAACCTCGAAGCACTGAACGGCCGTTTCGTCCTACCGTGGGACTCGTCAGCAGTGCGCATCTACGATCCCGCTCGCAAGATTTGAACCCAGGACCTTCAGTCTCACGCGCGAACACTAAACCTACTGGACCACTGAGTCGGCATCCAACAGTATTCTTATCTAGCCAAGTGTTTAGTACTAAAACCTAATAGATTTCTGTGTTTAAAGTAATATTTAAAACGTTTCTTTTGTATAACTCTTGTCTTAGTTGTTTAGTGTTCAAAATTTGTAAAGCGATGAGAATTTGGATGTTGACAGAGAAGTCACTCTGGCAATTGCTTGCTGCTGTACACCTAGTGTTTTTCCTTCACTCTGATATGGTGATGACATATGGACAGCATAGATTTAGAAAGTAGAGCAGTATAAAGGTGGTAATAATTGAAGTACTCACTTCTCATTTATTAACTGTTATGTTTTTAGTTGAAACATGTTTTTTTGTTTACAGAGTAGAATTGATCCACGTTTCTTGTTACGTTGAGGTCTCAAAGATAATATGCAGACTCATTACAGATTAGACACATTAAATTGAGTTGAATACAACAAAATACAATTACTTTATGACTTTACAAGTTACTATTAAGTACTGTCAAAATAGAATCCAGCGTAAACATCCACCATTTGAGTGTGAAATCTGTTTATCCTTAATACCTCGTTATCAGTCCCCATTAAATAATATCAAACCAAAAGCTTAGTCTGCAAAAATTGTGATAAGTTTAAACAAAACAATGAAAGAGATTATTGTTAATCAAAATGAAAATGATACATTTTTATCATATATGTAAGTGTTTGATTTAAACTGATATGAATCTGTATTATTTTGCTCACTAGTGACTGACTTCAGGAGACACTCCTGGAGTTCTAGTGAGAAGTCGTTACCAGTGAAGTTGAACCAGGTCTGTTGTGAGATAGGAACCCACTGAAGACAATGGTGTACGGTGGCGCAACTTCGTGGATTGGTTGAAGTGAGACATTAACACTGTTGGATGCCGGCTCAGTGGTCTAATGGTTAAGTGCTCGCGCGCGAAGCCAGTAGGTCCTGTGTTCGAATCCCGCAGGGGGCGGGTTCGTGAATGCGCACTGCTGAGGAGTCCCATACTAGGACGGAACGGCCGTCCAGTGCTTCCAGGTTTTCCATGGTGGTCTAGCTTCAATTGGCTCATGATTTCAACTTGTGGAATACAGAATACTTTTTAAGTTGAATTTAAGAATATTGAGACTGATTAACAAGTTTCTTTACTGCTAATAATCTTTTGACATTGATTAATTAAAGTATTTACAAGATGAGCTATGATGTTGTATGATGAAAAAGATTAGAAATTTTATTTCAAACATTATGAAAATCATCGTTCCGATAGTTTATGTTTAAACGATGAGACTATAACTTTTAGACGACCTTTGAGCGACACTATGAAGACCTTGAAAGTGTTCACCTAATAACTAGAAGCAAATGAGGATTATAAACCAAATTGAGGAATTAGAATTATGATTTACAACTGATGGTTAAGGTTAGAAATTAGATTTATATTTTTCATCACGAATTGATATCAGCTATAATGCCAATACTTTATTTAGCCAAACAGATGAGTGAATTTCGCGCCAAAATCCAAGACCTGTTATTTTACACCTGATTGGTAGAGTAGTGTAATGGTGATAATCATTATTCTCTAATTGTTAATTGTTTGATTAAACCTACATGAAATATTATTTCAAAATAATAATGATTGTAATCCTAATCATAAATCGTATGAATATTTCACAGTTCTATCATAATCTCACATGTCTACTAAATATTCTATACTAAATAGCACAACTTTATTTTTGTCAGTATTTAAGGGATAAAAAGGGAAAATAATCTATGTCGTTACAAGTTTATATACCTATATCTGAGTGAAAGCAAGACACATCAGGTCGAATGTAGTTTTTTTTTGTATTTTTTTCTCTAACTTACCCAATATATAGATATATACATATGTAAATAAGCCTATAGGAGATGAAAGTGTAAAACACAACAGTAATCATAACAACATTAACAGACATATAGTAAAAACAAAATGAACCAGTAATCAAATAGCTAATTTAACCGAATTTATTTACATGTTTTCTATGCTTATATATAAATATGATTCATAGATGTGAATACATTTACAAGAATGCATTAAATACAGTTTACATATAATTGTAATTTACCTTTCTCTTAAATGAATTTTTAAAGATAAACTAATTTAAAATAATAATGTCAATTACAGATAATAATTTGACTACATCTGAAGGTAAACGTTTAGTGGCAGCAAAAATTGCTAGTGCTGTTTCAAGTGGAGGTAGTCCAGCAAGAGTAATTAATGCATTTATACAAGTAAAAGATTATCAAGGATTAGATAAATATTTAAGTAAACATAAAGTTCCAACTGATATATTAACTGCATCATTACAAAGTGCATGTATGAGATCAGATAGTGAAGCTGTTGGTACATTTGCAAAACATGGTGGTAATGTAAATCATACTGATCAATTTGGAACTACTTTATTACATTTTGCTATGCGTGGTGGTGGTGATGAAAATGTTATTAAAGCATTAGTTGCACATGGATTAGAATATCATTCATGGAGATCTGCAGGAATGCCTTTATTACATTGGTCTTGTAGTACTGGATTAATCAATTTAGTTGAGTAAGTCAATAATTATGATAAATATTTTTATTCGGATAAAAACTATGTGTTTAATTAATCTATTTAATGTATGTGTAGTTAGTTATCTGATTTCAAATATTTCACAATTTCTTTAAATCTTTAAACTTGATCTACTCTAAATAAGTTGAAAGTTTGCATTTCTATTTGTTAGAACATTATAAATGTATCATTTATAGTAAGAATGTTTTCAGGTTGTTGTATAAGTAACTGGCTAAGAGATATTGGTAAACTCATTGAACCTGTTAAACTTGCTGAATTTTTAGACTGATATTGTATTAACATTATGTAATCAAAGTCAAGCTAGATTACATCTATCAGTGTTCAGTAACTTTAAACATGAAATTAGAACCGTATTTTAAAGACATGCAATGGCAAACTAGTACTATTCGGAAAATTACGGATAAACACAAGTGTGATAAATTATCGTATTGTTTGAGCTTGAAATTTCTTAACATACCAAGTCGAAAGTATAGACGTTACATGGAAAACTCTTAACAATAGTTTAGTGAGTCAGCATACAAAGATTGATATTTGTAAAGCTCAATCAATTTCTGATAAACCATATTTTAAGTTTAGTGTTTTTTGAACAGTTTACTGTCTCATTCTTTGATTATTTTTAATTATGATTGTTGAAAGACTTGGAAATCTCATCACAGCTTTTGTTAACTTGCATCACCTGTGGTGAAGTTATGGTGTTCGTCTGATTACCATAATCTAGTACACGCGCAGCTGAGGGCAGTAGATAAAAATGGCATTTCGGCTGGTGAAATAAAATTAAATTTTTTCATCGACTAGGGTGATTAGGATAAGGGTTACGTAAACAAAGTTATGCCTATCTAGAAGAATAATTGCGGCTAATGTAGTAGTAGTATTACAATGTTCAAAAGCTTGAAATTCCCAAAACGAAGACTTGGCATCAGTCCATGAATTTGTTGTCTGTTGATCTCAACTGGATGGGGAGATAAAGATCATCTGATTGTGGTCTACACGATTGTCGTAACTAATGACTAGAGACTTAAAGCGACATGGCTCAGAATCGTTGACAGTGGCGCAAATGTATCTTTTTGTCACTTTGATAATGAATTTGATGGTTTCATCTCGTTGTCTAATATGGTGTAGCAGCTTAAACCGATGCAGATACATACCCAATCCCTTTCTGCTTATAACTAATTGAATACCTCAATGAACCTTATTTTATTAAGAGTGGTTGAGATATACATAGCATAAGATTTACATGTCATGATGAAATATCAGTTAAGGTTTACTTTTTTCACGATTTTTCTCCAAACGAATGTTATTTTGTTATTAAAATTAATTTAACTTTATCCATGCAATACTGATAAACTGCCTTAATTAGATAAATTAACCCTTGAGATGTTATTCAAAATATAATAATAATTATCAGAATAGAGGTTCGTGAAGATTGTAGTAATTTAATGATTGAATTCATGAGTCGATTTAAGCTAGACCACCATTGAAAACCTGGAAGAATTGAAAGGCTTCCATGTTATTATTGTTTTTGTATAGGAAATTATTATAAATGATGATTAGTTTAATATCAATCAAGAGGTGTAGTTAAATAATTGGAAAATTAAAAAGAATGAAGACATTTCAAACGATAAACTTTTTTCTTAAACTGTATAATCATTCACATTGAGATTATGAGTCAATTAAAACTAGACCACAATGAAAAACTTGAAAGTACAGGACAGCTGTTTCGTCCTATTATGGGACTCTTTAGCAGTGCGTTTGTTTATTTTCCAAAAATTTTAAACGGCTGTCATTTTCACGTGTTTTGTTTCGTGTATTAGCTTAATAAACAAACATAAGAATTTATATTTTATGCATAAATCATTTAATATTAATTTTTTTTTAAAAGGTGAGAACGTTAATAAGTAGTTGATTTATTTGGTCATTTTACAAAACTGTTAAATGATTGTTTTAATAATAAGAATAAGAATAGGAAGAATAAGAAGAATAGGAACTATGTAATAATATGCACAATTATGTTTTATGTTTAGTATGAAACTTTCATGCTTACATTTCCTTTAAATGAGTTTTTTATATGATATTCCTTCAACATAATTATTAACTTTCTCTAAGTTTAAACTAGTCATTTATCATCAAAATGTTTGTTTAAATTGTAATATATCATGGAATATGAAAACAACCAACCAACCAACACCAACACGATACTTTTATTTCAAATGACTAACGATACAATTTCTTGATAACAGGTATTATATTATAAAGACATAAGTGGCTATTTTCTCTCTTCTCCTCCTTCTTCTTCTTCATTTTCGTGTCGTTAAAGTTACTTTTTTTCGTTCAATGTTTTTATATATCGGTTAAGACTTTCTTTTCAAAAGAATACAATACAGTTTGACTCTAGTTTGAAAAACGTTCCTTTAGAATATAAACAAGGTATTTACATTTAAATAAACTGTTTCGTTCACTTGAATTCATGGAGGCAAGTTTATTGTATTGTAATCATTTTAAAATGTGTACTACTGATGTCGATAGATATAAATAATATGTATCATCAATCGAAAGTAAAAAAGCCCAGTAGCAGAAGGTTTAAAAGATTATAGAAAAAGTCATGAGAACAGTGAATAATTGCTATGGAAATAAAGGAACAGTCAAATGTGATCGACATTTTGTAAATGAAGTAATTATTTCACTTGTTGAAATCACGAGTCAATTGAAGCTAGACCACCATGGAAAACCTGGAAGCACTGGACGGCCGTTTCCTTTTATTATGGGGCTTCCCAGCAGTGCGCTTTCACGATCCTGCACCCCGCGGGATTCGAACCCATGACCTATCAGTCTCGCGCCAGACGCTTAGCCAACTAGACCACTGAGCCGGCATCCAACGGTGCTAATATCTAACTGATAGGTCCTGGGTTCGAATCCCGCGTGGTGAGGGATCGTGAATGCGCACTGCTGAAGAGTCCCATACTAGGACGAAACGGCCGTCCAGTGTTTTCAGATTTTCTATGATGGTCTAGCTTCAATTGACTCATGATTTCAACTAGTGAAATTTCTAAAAATCTCCACAAAACCCATTCTGATAAGAAGTAATTATTGTATAGTTCTCAGATTTTACTAACAGATTCTGTAATGTTGTACTGAAATACATTTGATTGTCCCTATTGATGTTCTCGTTTACTGCAACTTAACTTCTTTCAAATGATCATCATTAATTTGGTATATTTTAATTACAAATCAGAGATTTACGATTTAACTATAACAAAAAGGTGTAATAATTATTAGGTAAATCGTTTTTCTGTGTTTTTTGCATAAAACTACATTTATTATGATAGACATACTGATTGTGAATGTTCAAGCTAGCAAAATTTTAGATGGAAATTATCATTCCTTTTTTTCAACCATATGTACATATTTATTTATCAGACTTTTAACTTGAATTATCTATAGTGTTATAAAAAGTAATTTTCAATCAAGTAACTTGTTTAAACTTTCTATCATTTCACTGTAGGGAGCTTGTAGACATTGTTAACTTGATTGTTTAAATAGCAGACTAATCTTAATTAAACAGTCATCTGAAATTAAGAAGCACTAGAAAGTGACTGATTGAATGATCTAAATCATTATTCTAAGTTTTAACAGATTCATCTTTGTGATAGCTTATTTCCGAGAAGTGAATAATTATTTATTATTGTATAACGAAAGTAATTTACTCATAATGTATTTGGTCAGTTTTAATATTAGTAATCAAATAAATAGTGTAAAGATTGTTTTTACCACTTATTGATGTCAGATGAAGAACTAGCGTAAACAATAAAGTAAGGAAATTGGTGATTGTTTGTTAGTTTAAGACTCCTCAATGTCCACGTCTACAGTACTGCAGAAGACCAAATATGGAGCTATTAAAATTTATGAAGTACTCGATAACGTTAGGTCAGTAATTAAGCTGTAGAAATTTGTTAGTATTTTAAATGTCATCACCTTTATTTAATGTTATCTATTAGCTACTGTACAAATTCGCTTACCATCTACTGTCCTATATTTAAACAATGATTCTTTAGTTGATATCAGCTGTTACCAAATTTTACTATCAAATTATACAAAATTTTCAAATGCAACCTTTATAACTGACTTTTTATGACTTAGTGTAAACCACTTCTTTAGTAAACAAATAAAAGGTGTTTTATTCTCTCTGAAAAAAAATTCACTGATGAATTAATCTGCTATGAATTCTACTTGAAGATTAATGAAAAGAGTTGGAATCTCTTATTGCTATTGTTACATAATTGCGGCTATTACGCCTTTGAAGCATAAAGTGTCGAACAGCAATCTCCAACCTATTCTGTACAGGCCTCTCCTTTCCACTTGTTCTCAAGTGATATCCATTCTTTTAATGTCTACCTCGAAGTGCTGTTCATTAGTTTATCCCTCTTATTTTCTTTTGAGGATTCCAATTTGAGCCTTAAATATTTTTCTACTTCAGATCGTAGATTCCTTTATTTTAGAGGCAGTGAACTTTCCCAAAAGACAGTTTCCCCATGAGTACATTAACATAAAATAAAAAGGTTATTTGCCGTAATTTAGTTGTAGGAATACAATGACAACATGTAATGAAATTAAAATCTCATTAACATTTTCTAATGCTGTTAGAATGAAGCAATTTTTAAGAATATGGCTAAATTGATTTGTAATGTTTAATGATATTCATTCAATGAAACGGAAAAAATATGCACAAAAAAAGTTATCTATGAGTTAATTCGTGTTGTTTATATGAGAATTAAAACAGAAAGTCGTAAAATAGATCAATCTATAAGAAACACGAACGTGTATTGGCAGAAAATTGATACACACAGGAAAATGAAGCAAAATTAGTCATTATAAAAGTAAAAAAAATAAAAATTCCAATGGTGAATCACAACAAGGCAGTAGTTGCATTAAAAACAAAAAAATTGCCACAATTTCTTTGGAAACACTGTAAACTAATGACTGAT